GGTGGCGGGGGCCGCGAGCCGCAGGGAAGCCGAGGCGGGGCCCGGCGCGTGAACTTTCTCGAGTTTGTTTTGAAAACGATTCAAGTTCTGGGCTTTGTCCCTTAAAACAAACTTTCACGTAGAAATGTCTTCCTCCTTCCCAACTCTGAGGAACATGGGGCGACTTGGGCTGGGCCACATTTCTCCCGTGAGGCTCGGTACGGCCGAGTGGCACTCCCTGAGGTGGGTCGGGCAGGGATTCAGAGTTCTCTCCAGAGGCTGCGTCTCGTCTTTACTAATGCAGTTGCAAATGAAAACATTTTTAAGGGGAAAGATGCACCAGCGTGCATCTTGAAAGGGCGAGGGAGGGGAGGAGGGAGTTAGATTGCAATCAGGTTGAGAAGGAGAACTGGGTCAGGGACAAGCTTGTCATGACTGGGAACCACCTGGGTTTTGGAAATAATCTGTATGAAAAGTTCTCTTTGCAGTAAAAGTGGATGGTTGGTCATGATGTTGTAAATTCAGTAAGTCTTTTAAGTCTTAATGTATGTTCGGGTAGATTTTTCCTATAAGCCGTACCGCCTCAATTCAGTCTGCCAGGTATTTACTGAGTATTTAACATTGTTTGGTGTACAATGAGGACAAATAAAATTTCTGCGCTCGAAGAGTTTAAGGCTTGAGTGGGGAGAGGGGATTTATACAATGAAGCAGTCTAAGAACATCCATATGGGCTGTATGATCAAGTGCCAAGATGTGGATTATTTAATTCCATCCCAGAGCAGTAGTTCTTCAAGTCAGAGGAGGAATTCATGTCCAGGCTCAAATTTTGCTCGATTAGGGGGTGTTATAAAGGGTTACTTGTGTGCTGTGATTTGAGGAACACCAAGAAAGCATCTCTGCCCCCAAATACCTCTTCTATCCAGGTATTAGTGCCTAAAAGTCCACATTAAGCATTCAGCCTTTTAGCTTGAGCACTGAACTTTCCCTGCCTGGCCCTTTCCAACAGCATATGTTTGTGAGAAGTGTAACAAATTAAAACACGAACACCTGAATAATAACCTGAATACTACACACAAAAATAAATTATTTTTGTGCATAACTATTAATTTCACATACATTACTTAGTGTGATCCCTGCATACACACAACTTTCTAAGGTAACTTAGTGGGCAAGTGTTATTCCTTTAGATTCGATTGTTGTGGATTAATTTATGACTCTTCTGAACAGCTTGGTAGTACTGCAGTCTTGGGTAGGTGGGTTGGGGAGGAAGAATTAAAGCACCTATAGGAAGGGCAAGAAGACTCCAAAGCACTCTTAGACATATTCTAAACCATTTGATAGTTCTTTGTGGGGCCACTTCTATGGGGAGGGACCTGTACAAACCGAGTGAATGGTAAAGACACAGTGGTAAGACTGTGGCTGGCTTCAGGGACCTGTGTGTAGGAGAAGCCTGCCAGGCTTGGCAGCCTGCAAGGTCAGGTCGTAGCATAGCCTGAAAAGAAGTCTGAATCAAAGGCAAGAGAAGAAGTTGTACTTATTTTAATGGTCCCCACATCGTAGCACAAGCTGTTTTGCGTAAGATTTTAAGAGGTATGCTAATATTATAACAGCAAAGGTAGGTCAGCTCCCTGCCTTTCCCGTTCTTAGTCTCAGATGTTGTGGATAAAATAATAAAACAGAGTTCCTTTCATTTCACTGATGGGAATACTGTAGTAAATTATCTAAATAAGTGGCTTTAAGCTTGTTAAAGCGATGCATAGAGTTTGGTGGAAAAACAAGTAGAGATTTATTGCAAATTAGCTAGTTCTCAGGTACTATAAAGTATCTAGGCCTTTGGGGAAAACAACAGAATCTTCTCTTCCCTTTTCTTCTCTTGTATTTAGTTTTCATTAAATTTTCTGCCCCAAGGGAAAAAAGGGAAAGGTTGGTTATATTTACTGGTTTGGGGGCTTTTGTTGTGGGGTGTTTTGTTTTGTTTTGTTTTGAGACAGAGTACTCCCTCTGTCACCCAGGCTGGAGTGCAGTGGTATGATCACACCTCCACCTCCCCGGTTCAAGGGGTTCTTCTGCCTCAGCCTCCGAAGTAGCTGGGATTACAGATGTGCACCACTATGCCCAGTTAATTTTTGTATTTTCAGTAGAAACAGAGTTTCGCCATGTTAGCCAGGCTGGTCTCGAACTTCTGGCCTCATGTGATCCGCCTGCCTGGGCTTACAGGTGTGAGCCACCATACCTGGCCATATTTACTTGTTATTTGAGAAACAGTAGGAATTGTGCCCAGGAGGAAAGAGATAGTCTTGTGAAGGTGGGCAAAGACAAGATGATCTTTTAGATCAATAATGTGTGTAAGCTCAAATGCTTGCAAAACTATTGTAAATGAAAACAGCCCCTCACATATGGGTCAGCAGTCAGTTCCCATGGGAAATTTAGTGTTCCATTGAGTGGTCCTGAGATTTCCAGTTAACCTCACTGCACTCTTTAACTATAGTATAGGAGAAATATCAGTAGTACTAAGGTAAATTCTAAGACCAGGCAGTGCAGGAAAGGATATAAAATAATGATTCCTTTTTCTGGATTCAGAGTCTGTTAGAGGCAGTTTCAGAAAAAGGCACTCTTCCACTTTTTTGGTACTGTTTTCCCCAGGCTACTCACAATGGCAGTCCGGCTGTCTCCCCTCCAATGTTAGCATGTAATATGAGATGCTTCCTCTCTTAGAGATAAAGCTACCTAAATAGAAATTTTACTGAATATGGATGACAGATAAATCCCTAACCATTCCAATTTTAACAGATATGTGTATTCAGAGGAACTTCTATAATTAATATAATTCTGGCAGAGTGTGAAAGAACTGAAAAACTTTGTGCTCAGTATTGGTGGAGTGGTCACCACAACATTTTAAAGAGGAACAAAGGAGACCGTATGAGTTCCAACTGCTGCTCCATATTTTCCAATGGTAATACAGTCTCTAACTCCTGACATAAAAACACCCACCCTAAAATCTTGAGGACTCATATGCAAGACCTCGTTATTTTTTCATTCATTCTCAAATACTTAACTGAACACTATGCCAGCTATAGAGACACAGTGGTAAACAAGACAGATAAAGTCCCTGCTTATGTAATTTATATTCTGTTAAGGGCACAGAGGGGAAAAGTAAAATAAGCAAGATAATTTTGGTTTGTGATAAGAGCATCCTAATAACTGAAGAAATATGATGGGAAGCAGACAACCAACTTTAGACAGTGGTGATCAGAGTAGGCTTATGAGTAGCTGAAACATGAAAGATAAGGAGCCCATGCAAGATCTGAGAGAAGAGTGTTCTTAGCAGAGGGGCTAAGTGAAAAGACCCTCAGGTAGGCTGGCACTTCAGGGAGAGGGGCTTAAGGAACAACAACAAAAATGTTTGAGGGACTAGAGCAGCTAATGTTGGCACCGTGATATGAGTTAAGACTAAAGAGTAGAGGGGCTCAGGACTTTCAGGGTCTTATAGGCCATGGAAGGAAGTTTGAATGATTGGACAGTTTTAAGGAAAGACGGAAAATGATCTGATTTAAAATGTTTACATTTCTATTCCAGTTACTAAGTTTATGGGGGCTAGAGTGGGAACAGAAACAGTAGGATGCCAGGTGTTTTGGACTAAGGTTGTGGCTGTAGAGATAGAAATGAACAGACTTAGGACATATTTGAATTATAGCCCATGAAATTTATCAATGATTTCAGTGTGGGGATGAGGGACAGAGATGAATCAAAGATGACTTCTGGGTTATGGGTTGAATAGTTGGTTGGATGGTATTGTCAATACTGAGATGAGAGTTTGTGGGGAGGAATAGATTAGGTCAGTGAGTCGTGGTGGTCTTTGAGGGACTGAGGAGGACACGCATGATTCTGAAAGATTTTCAGACGAAGAGAAGAGGGCAGTTTTTAGCTAATGTTGGTTTAAAGTTCCCAGTTAAGGTTGTGGTATGGGTCATTAAAGAGGTCATTTGTGCACTAAAAAGAATAAACAGGGAGCCGGGCGCGGTGGCTCACACCTGTAATCCCAGCACTTTGGGAGGCTAAGGCAGGTGGATCACTTGAGGTCAGGAGTTGGAGACATGCCTGACCAACATGGTGAAACCCCATCTCTACTAAAAATACAAAAATTAGCCAGGCGTGGTGGTACATGCCTGTAATGTCAGCTACGTGGGAGTCTGAGGCAGGAGAATTGCTTGAGTCCGGGAGGCGGAGGTTACAGTGAGCCAAGATCGCACCACTGCACTCCAGCCTGGGTGACAGAGCAAGACTCCGTCTCAAAAAAAAAAAAAAAAAAAAGAAGAAGAATAAGCAGGGAATTCTGTGATCTAGATCTCAGAAGAATTTCATTTCCTTCCTTCACAGGGTTGTTATGAACTAGACTGGTCCAACAGGAAAGTATGATAGATGTGAATTGGTGCTTCTTTTCAACCTTTTCCAGAAGCTCTCAAGCTGTTCTTGTGGATAAGACAGAGAATATGTACTCCAATGCAAAGACTTTTGGTTGAATTACAACTGGCCAAAGGTATATCCAGGCTGTGTGGATTAGTGTTTACTAGGCTTTCCTGAAAACTTTGTCTTTGACTGCATCCCATTCTGTGTCTTGAAAGAAGGTATAGAAGGCATCATATCATATAAATTTGGTGGAAGGGATATTAAGTATGTCTCATCTGATGGCAGATTAAAAATTCAGAAAGGTCTTGACAAGTTGGTTTGATAGGCTGAACTAGCAAGATGAAATTTAGTAGGAATCAATCTAAGGTCCTGCGCTTGAATCCAAGGTTTTCCATCCAATCAAGTATAGAACGGAAGAGACATGACTTAGCATAGCATTTCTTAGAGGAGGGGGAGACCAAGAAATTTAATCATTCCTAAGTTCGAGGATACACTGGCAGTGTACTAGATCTGCTGTGAAAGCTAATGCAATTTATATGCTCCAGTGATAATTTCTAGAACTGGGAAAGTAACACTTGTGTTTGACTGTGTAATAGAAATTAAGTTTATTTTTCTTAATATGCCTTCCAAGAATAAAGATAAGCCAGCAGTCCTTTCACAGACTCATTAGAATGGCGAAGAGACTCAAGCCCATCCCCTGGGAGTTAAGTTGAAGTAACTGGGAATACAGAGCCAGGAAAAGAAAACTCAGGGTTCACTTTATAGCTGTGACATTGAAAGGGGATTGGAGGTTTCCTGATGGTGCCAGGGCAAAGCCAGTGCCAATGGATGGAATTTACAGGGAGAAAGATGCCAAGTCAGAGACATTTTAAAAATTGGAGGGCCTGCCTTACATAAAGTTACTGGCAGTATTTATGAGTTGATGGGATGTGTAGAAAGAATTCCTCCATCTCATGGTCACTGAACCAGATGACCTTTCAAGATCTTGCCAACCCTGAGATACATGGATAACTCTTTTTCAGCTTTCTCTTCTTGTCACAACTGTTTGCCTTTTTCTATTTGGTGGTTCTCATGGCAGCTGAAGGGGAGATCGCTGATGCACTGTTTTGGTTCCACAGGTGTCTGGTTTCATAAGTCAGGACCTGCATATGCTGCTGGTTGACGAAATTTGTAAAGGACCTCCCTTTTCAGCACAATGACTGATTGTATTTCTTACATTGTTGTTGTCTTCCCAGGTGACTGTAGGACGAGGATTTGGTGTCACATACCAATTGGTATCAAAAATCTGCCCCCTGATGATTTCTCGAAACCACTGTGTTTTGAAGCAGAATCCTGAGGGCCAGTGGACAATTATGGACAACAAGGTACAGGAATTCACAGAATCCTAATGACTTTTATTTGTTTTTAAATTACTTTTTTTTTTTTTGCATAAGTAATTCATGGTATAAAATTCAAATTTTTTTTTTTTTTTTTTTGCATAAGTAATTCATGGTATAAAATTCAAAAGTATAACTTCTTTCCTAGCCATCCAGTTTCCTTTTCCAGTGGCACAGCCACTTCCATATGCTGCCAGAGATTAGATTATGCTAAAATAATTTCTCTTGATTTGGGTCGAAGTTTGTTACCTTGAAGAGAATACCTGAATTGGGGTAGTAGGTCCTCTTCCAGAAACTAGATTAAGTTACTGGGCAAATCAGCCTGTTTGAGGTGAAGCTCCCAGAGACCCTGGGAATCTGCAGAATCCGCTAACGCTTCTGGAGTACGCTTGTGGCTCAGTGAACAGGGGGAGGAGGGAGAAACTGATCTGACCGCACTTAGCTCCTTGCCTTCCTCATTCCTTTCAATCTGAGCAACCTCTCCTGGCTTTTAAAACGTGTTTTAAATGTTGGTGTTCTGAAGATTTCCTTTGGATAATGGGTTTTTCTCCTTTAGACACATTTGAAAACCACTAGTTTAGTGGTAAATGTGTTGAGGGAGGTGCAATAGTATATAAAGCCCAGCAATTAGAAAGTACCTAATGTGCTGAGTGTGGTGGTGCATGCCTGTAGTCCCAGCTACTGGGGAAGCTGAGGCAAGAGGATTGTTTGAGCCCATGAGTTCTGGGTTATAGTGTGCTACGCTGTTCTGGTGTCTGCATTAAGTTCGGCATCAATCTGGTGTCCTCCTGGGAGCAGGGGACCACCTGTTTGTCTAAGGAAGGTGAACTGACCCAGGTTGGAAGAGGGGCAGGTCAAAACTGCTGTGCTGATCAACAATGGGATTGCACCTGCAAGTAGCCACTGCACTCCCGTGTGGTTGACATGGTGAAGCCCTGTCTCTATCAAAAAGAAAAGGCCGGGCGCGGTGGCTCAAGCCTGTAATCCCAGCACTTTGGGAGGCCGAGATGGGCAGATCACGAGGTCAAGAGATCGAGACCATCCTGGCTAACACGGTGAAACCCCATCTCTACTAAAAAAAAATGCAAAAACTAGCCGGGCGAGGTGGCAGGCGCCTGTAGTCCCAGCTACTTGGGAGGCTGAGGCAGGAGAATGGCATAAACCCGGGAGGTGGAGCTTGCAGTGAGCTGAGATCCGGCCACTGCACTCCAGCCTGGGCGACAGAGCAAGACTCCATCTCAAAAAAAAAAAAGAAAAGAAAATACCTAACATGCAGATATACAAGCACCCAGGATATATGATGAAAATACAGACTATGAGGTGAGAGAAATTCTAACATAAACAGTTCATGTTTAGGAAGTATAACATGTCTTTAAGTACCATTTCATATTGCTTCACTGCCCCAGTTAGGATTTTAACAGTACCATTAGAAGGGAGGATATCCCACAGGTCTGCCCAGCAGCCTCATTTTGCATGCATAAAACTGCTAGATTTAAGCTGTTGTAAAGTATCTTCCTGCTCTAGAATTAAGTTGAGTTGGCACTGTATTGAAGGAGACAATACACAAATGCTAAGTAAATGAGTTCAACACTTTCAGCAATGCACCATGAGCAGGGTAAAAATTGGCACTGGCATTATCTACTTTAACCCCTTATGTAGACAGATGAATCTGAGGCCCAGAGAGATAAACTGCCTTGCCCAAGGCCTTCTCTATAATGAGCCAGGACTTAAGTTTCTCTGCTATGCCCTGTGCAAATACCAGTAAAGTACGTAAGCAATTTGCTATACTGGCTTTATGACATCAAACAATTAATTGTGCATATTTAAAATATAGCTGCAAGGTTTTAAAGCCTCTGTAATAGTGTATATCAAAACAGCTTAGGAAAAGATGTTTTCCTCATTAGAGTAGGCTGTATGAGAGTTGGGATTACAGTATTATAGAGGTGAGTTTTCTGCTGCTACTTTTCTTAATTATGTGCAGTGTAGATGTGATCCACTTATGGGATTAGCAGATTTTCATAGGTTGGGAAGCCAACAGCTGATCGACTGTAGTGTTATTTAAATGTCAACCACAGGGATACATAGGCAGCCTGTGCAAGATAGATCATGACTGTGCTCCGGGCTCGCTCTCCAATGTTTGCTTTGTACCCTTCCTTCTAGGGTTGCTGTTATCATGTGATTCTTCTGAGGTCTCAGTCAGGCAATAGAAAGGAAAGGTTTCTTAACAACCTGTTTAAACTTTTTAGCTGTGATTGTGAGATAACTGATTTTTAAGAGAAGCTAGGACTGGGGTGTTTTGATGGAACAATTCTTACAAGTAAATCCCCCCTCCCCTCTGCACTTTTCTTTTGATTACAGTTGCCCCCTTTCTGGCTTCCTCCTGGCATGATGTCATGGCAGCCCTCTTCTGCTGATAAGGGACCTGAATTTCAGCTGTAGGATATTATTGCTGTGGTTGTGTTTGAAGTCATTTGCCAAGTCTCTTTCAAGAGATAGGTGTTTCTAATAAGTTAAAACTCAGAGCTGCATTCTCTTATCTGCTGGAATGGCCAGAAAGTGAGAGCTTAAGTATGGATACAAAAATTGCAAGAAATGTTATTTTGGTTTAAAATTGGCTTAAAATATAGGAAAAAAACCCTTGGAGGACAGCTAACTCTGCACACAGTATGAGGATGGTTCTAGTTGTGTAGGTTTTGGTCAATTCGTAAGCTCTTCAGATGGCCATCTTTGTATTGGTATCCAGCTCTTTCAGAAAATTGGTTGTTTTAAAGTCACAGTATGAAATGCCTTAGAGGTTCGGTCACGTCTTACTTGAGCCTTTCCCATTCTTACCCTCCTCTCCTGTTGCTTTTCACCTGCTGCCTGGTGATTCCTACTATTGTTCTTCTGCAGAATCTGGCATTTGAAGTCTCTGGTGAGTGTACTCTTACGTGAACAATCTTTGCTGCTTGGGACAGTCCAGCTTCTGGTCCTCAGCAACTAGAGCAGTGGTTATCAACCACATTTCCAGTTTTTGCTCTCACGTGGGGTACTTTTTAAAAATACTGATGATCATTCAATAAAAACGTTCATTTGTCAGAAGACAACATTAAGAGACTAAAAGGCACACTCAGGGGAAGATGTTTGCTACATATTATAGTCAATGAAGGGCTTATCCTGAGTTATATGCAGAACTCCAATAAGAAAAAGACAGATATGCCCTATTTAAAAATGAGCAAGAGACAAGCGCTTCACAAAAGGTTGTATCCAATGAAAAGTTGTTCAACCTCATTAATAATTTGGGGAATTTAAATTAAAACCATAATGGAATACCTCTACACATTCACCAGAGTGGCTAAAATTGAAGACCAGTGATGCCAGGTATTGGTAAGGATATGAAACGATAGAATGCTCTTACCCTTCTGTTGGGAGTGTAAATTGGTACAGCTACTTTGGGAAATTATTTGGCATTATTCATTAAAGTTGAGCATACATATAGCTTTTGACACAGTATTTTCACTCACAGGGAAACAGCCCAAATGTCCATCAACAGTAGAATGGATAAATTGTGGAATAATCTTATATTGAAACACTATACTGTAGTGTATATGAATGAACTACTATATCTAATAACATGGATAAATCTCACATAATATTGAGTGAAAGAAGACAGACACAAAAGAACACATATTATATGATGCCATTTATACAATGTTTAAAACCAGGCAAAATTAACATGTGCTATTAAATCTGGATAGTAGTCACCTTATTGCCAGGGTGGCTACTGACTAGGAGGCACACAGGGTTTCTGGGATGCTGATAATGTGGGGTTTGTTTTGTTTTTGACCTCGTGGTAGTTACGCTATGATATTCATTTTGTGACTGTTCATCTAGTTGGTACATTTACGGTTTGTGCACTTTTATGTTTGCATGTTCTACTTTAGTAAAGAGTTTAAAAAATATATTGAGGATACATAATACAATTGCTGAAATAAGACTTGATGATATCAAGTGCTGGCAAGCATGCAGAATAACTGGAACTCCTCAACGTTCAAGTGTGAATATAAAATGGTACCTCCACTTTGAAAAACTGGTGGTTTCTAAGAGTCAAATATATACTTGTCCAATGATCCTATTTCTAGGTATTTACCCAAGATTAATGAAAGCTTATGTTCTCACAGAAACTTGTATGTGAATGTTTCTAGTGGCTTTCTTTTTTTAACTTATTTTTTTGAGATGGAGTTTCGCTCTTTTCGCTCAGGCTGGAGTGCAATGGCGCGATCTCGGCTCCCCAAAACCTCCACCTCCCGGGTTCAAGCGATTCTCCTGCCTCAGCCTCCCGAGTAGCTGGATTACAGGTGTGCAGCACCACACCCAGCTAATTTTTGTATTTTTAGTAGAGTTGGGGTTTCGCCATGTTGACCAGGCTGGTCTTGAACTCCTGACCTTAGGTGATCCACCCGCCTCAGCTTCCCAAAGTGCTAGGATTACAGGCGTGAGCCACCACGCCCTGCCTGTAGTGGCTTTATTAATATTCATCAAAAACTGGAAAAAAACAACTAGGGAATGGATAAACTGTGCTCCACCCATACTACCTTCAATATTACTCAGCAATAAAATATAACTGCTGATAATGCAACAGGGTAGATGAATCTCAGAGGCATTACACTAAGTGAAAGAAGCAAGACTCGAAAGCGTAGATAATAAGATTCCATTTGTATTACATTCTGGGAAAGGGAAGAGAACAGATAAGTAGTTGCCTGGGAATGTGGGAAAGGTTGACTACCAAGGGGCACTGTATCTTGATATAGTTACACAACTGTATGTGTTGGTATATAAATGTGACTTTTAAAATACTGATACTTAGTTCCTATCTCAGACCAGTTAACTCACTCTGAGGGTGAAACCCAGGCACTGCTCTTTGTTTTAAACCTTCCCGGGTGGTTTTACTGTATAGCCAGGGTTGAGAACCACTGAGCTACATAAATTATCTAAAGCACTCCAAGAAAACATTGCCTTTTGGTTTTGAGTTTCCACTTTCCTCAATAAACTGTTTAAAAGCAGCTGGGCAGAGATTGAGCATCTAGTGAAGTAATTCCTGTCTAAGCGGATGTGCATTATCCCACCTTTTTCCCATTGGTGGCTAAGAGACATCAGGCAGACCCAGGTATCGTTTTCTGCTGCTAGCATTGTTCAAGTGGGTAGTTATGAAAACCAACATCAAGAAAGCCTTGAACAGAGCATGATTATTTAAACCATTGTATTTGAGATCATCTCTAGCAGTACTTGATTGTTCTTGTACAGCCATGGGATGTACATGAACAGAGCTGACTCAGGGCTTTGGTTTAAATTATACCACTAGATGTCACCAAGAAGTGATGAATGAGTAAATATACAAGAATTCAAGGACAAAACGTGATGGAAGAATTTTGAGTTTACTTTCCAGCTTTTAAAAGGGCTCTGAAGGCAATGGGTTAATGTAGAGGATCTAATGGAGGGCTGCAACATATTGTGAAAATTTGCCCCAGCTTCTGAGGGATTCTTATTCTCTTTAGCTGTGGGCTGCCTCTGTAATCTTATTTATTTATTTTACCTTATCTTAGCTTTGGAGACTTTCCTTAAATTTCTGTACTTTGGCATTAGGTGGCCTTCTGTGTCTTATTACTTTTTCTGATACCTTTTTCCTGCATATAATCTAAAATTGACTGTCCTGCTCTAAAATTGTTCTCAGATAGATTGTTCTGGCTCCATCCCTCTCATTTGTTATTTCTCATATGTTGTTTCAAAATTCAGTAAAACTTATCACTCCCCATAGTTTCTCAGGCTGTATAGAAAGGGTGTGAGGAGGTTTCCTAGATGAACCAGGTTAGACCCGATGCACAGTGGGTTAAGACTAATCTTTCTGTATGTATCTATGCCAGTCTTTTCTTTCTGTGTAAACCAAGTAATAGAAGATAAAACTGGAAACAAGAGCCTAATGCCCAACCAGAGCTGAGATCTGATCTCTACTTGCCCTTTACCCTCTGTGCCTTGTGGTCAAGCCCCCTGTCCCTCATATTTATGTTGACTGGGGATTTTTTCTAGCTGAAAGTAGGTAGCTATAGTTGCCAGTGTAAACATAAATCTTGGTCCCAATTCAGAAGTGAGCATCATCTCTGGCCTATCCCCTGAACTTAAGTCCTTGATATGGGTTAAAATGCTCGCCAGTATATTTCAACTCTGAATCTTGCCTTTGTTTCAAGTCTATTTTAGGACTTGTCATCTCCATTTAGCATCCCTTAGCTATCCCAGCTGCACATGATATTCCTTTGCATTTATAGGCTATGCCATTTAATCCCACATTTACTTATTTGTGCCCTTGTGTTGTCTTTTCCACAGTCAGCTGCTGAAAGTTTTCATGTCTTTTCCACTCAATATATTTACCTTGCATGACATTGAGCATAGAATTGAAATGATTGTTGATGAATCAGTTGAACCAAGGCATAGTAATAGTAGTGAACACTTATGTAACACGATGCCCAGGCGCTGTCTAAATAATTGCCATATGTTATCTCATTAAATCCGCACAGACACCATAAGGGGAGACTTATTTTCCTCCATTTTATTGATGCAGTAACTAGACCATAAAGAGGTCAAGAAACCCGGCCAAAATCACCCAGCTGCTAAGTGATAGAGCCACATTACAAACCCAGGCAGTCTCACTCCAGGATCTGTGCTCTTAACCTCGATACTATGACTTCTTTAAAACCATAAAAGTTTATTTTATTTTATTTATTTTGGAGACAGAGTCTCGCTCTGTCACCCAGACTGGAGTGCAGTGACACAATCTCGGCTCACAGCAACCTCCGCCTCCTGGGTTCTAGCAATTCTAATGCCTTGGCCTCCCAAGTAGCTGGGATTACAGGCACCCACCACCACACCTGGCTAATTTTTGTATCTTTAGTGGAGAGGGGGTCTCACTGTGTTGGCCAGGGTGGTCTTGAACTCCTGGCCTCAAGTAATCCACACACCTCGGCCTCTCAAAGTGCTGAGATTACAGATGTAAGCCACCACACCCAGACAGTAAATATTTATTAAGCATTTATTCTATGTGAGTCATTGTGCTAAGTGATTCACATGCATTATCTTATTCATTCCTCACGGAAACAGTATGAGGTAGGTACTGTACTATCCCTATTCTGCAGACAAAACAGGCATGGAGAGGTTAAGTGAATTGTCAAATGCCATGCGGACTATGAACCCGCATCTGAGTCCAGAGCTCCAGCTCTTAACCATTATCCTGTATTGCACATACATCCCTGTTGGTATTAATTGGCTCAGATCCTATCTGCCATTTGACCCCAGTACCGGATTTAGTACTCTCTTTTTTTTTTTATTTATGTGTGCGTGCTTGTTTACCAGTGTGTTAAGGAACCACATCCAGAGATAGCATTTGAACCTACTTCATGGACCTCATCCTTAACTACTGCTTTCTTCACTAATAATATTTTTTCTAGTTTTGGGACGTTGCTCCAGTTTAGGTCAATAGGAGCTAGCCAATTTCAGTTTCCTTTAATGCTATTCCATGTGTTTGAGTAAATTATCCACCAATAATAAGGTGATTCCTGCCTGTTAATATGGCAGTTCTCTGTGGACGCATGAATGTGAAATATAGGTAAAAAGCCAAAGCACTGCTTAACGAATGCTGTTTCTAGGGATAGTAGTTTATGAATCTTTCTTTTCTATTTGTTATCAAGAGTTTTCCTTCTGAAAAGGCAGAAGGTTTTACAGCAGCAGGAGAGAGATTCCATTAAGAAGACGAAAATCACGAAGCTTATTTCTTCTGTCTTTCACTTTCCCCAGAGTCTAAATGGTGTTTGGCTGAACAGAGCACGTCTGGAACCTTTAAGGGTCTATTCCATTCATCAGGGAGACTGCATCCAACTTGGAGTGCCTCTGGAAAATAAGGAGAATGCAGAGTATGAATATGAAGTTACTGAAGAAGACTGGGAGACAATATATCCTTGTCTTTCCCCAAAGAATGACCAGATGATAGAAAAAAATAAGGAATTGAGAACTAAAAGGAAATTCAGTTTGGATCAATTAGGAGGTCCTGGAGCTGAAGGCCCCTCAAATTTGAAATCCAAAATAAATAAAGTGTCTTGTGAATCTAGTCAGTCAGTGAAATCACAGGGGAAAGGTGAAGTGGCCAGTACACCCTCTGAAAATTTGGATCCTAAGTTGACTGCCCTTGAGCCAAGTAAGAAGACCACAGGGGCTCCCATTTACCCTGGCTTCCCCATAGTCACAGAGGTTCATCATGAGCAGAAAGCCTCAAACTCTTCAGCATCTCAGAGAAGCTTACAGATGTTTAAGGTGACCATGTCCAGGATTCTGAGGCTGAAAATACAGATGCAAGAAAAACATGAAGCCGTTATGAATGTGAAAAAGCAGACCCAAAAGGGGAACTCAAAGAAAATTGTGCGAATGGAGCAGGAACTGCAGGACTTACAGTCCCAGCTGTGTGCAGAGCAGGCGCAGCAGCAGGCAAGAGTGGAGCAACTAGAGAAGACTTTCCAGGAAGAGGAACAGCATCTTCAGGTACCACACAGAAGGGAAGGGCAAGACTGGTCTTCAGGAGTGGGGCAGGCACTTCATGGGCCTCTGGCCAGAGTTCTTAGTTTCTGGGCCAGGTACCAAATTCTGAGCACCAAAGACAAGAAATGGAATGGGAACAGTAAACTTTTGAGATCAGGGAAGGGGACTGAGTAGAGGGTTAAGGCTTCAGCATGCTGATGAGATCAAGAGCCAGAGGTGGGGTGCCAAGATAGGGTAAAGTGACCAGCAGAGCCAGCCAGGACATAACTCATCTCAGGATGCAAAGCTGAGGCAACTCAGAACCAACATGAATTCAGGGGAAAGTTAGGTGAAGGTCAAGATGCCGCAAAACCACAGTATAGTCCAATTAAATCATTAGTTGTCTTCAAGACTTATGTATCTTTGCTCTGTGGCCAAGGCCAAATCACTTAGTCCCAGGGCAGGTACAGGTCAGCTGGTTCCTCTGCCCTTGTACCTGACAGTTTGTTAGCTATAAAGGTTAGTTAACTCTGTAGCTAACCCAGGAGGTGAGAGGCTAAAAAGGCAGAAAATGTTTTTGTTTCTGTTTTGAGCAGCCAGCATGTGATGGGACAGATGCACCATGACTGCATTGTTGGGTTGAATGATAAACCACCTTCCACAGTGCTTATAGTAGGAAGGTAAAATAATGACTATCTTAGCTTTGTAAAGGTAAGACCAAATGTGTTTCCATCCCTGAGTCATTTGCTTCAATGACAAACTCTTGCACAAAGCTTTAGGCTAGAGCAGATCCTGTCCTTGCTCAAAATGTCATTTCCTATCTGGCAGGAACCACACATTTTACTCCCACCCAGTTGCTCAGATAATATTGAATGTCAAGAATTCCCTATTGTTGACTTACAACTCACACGGCCAGTCACAACTAAAGTGAATAAACTTTTTTGTTTGGGTTGCTCAGGGTAAGGAACAACCAGAGGTAGTGTTGGCTTATTTCTGAGCAATTTATAAATTTCATTGTGATCTCTGCCATCCCCTTGAACTGGTAGTATTAGCAAAAGCCATGGATTAAATAGGTCTTTTGAGAGTATACACTGCTTCCTTACATGTACCTTTTTGCTTCCCTTATCCAGCCTAGACTAGTTCTTGAAATTAGTAGAGGGTGGTTTATGTCTACGTGTTTAGTATATCACACCTTCACTAGGACAGAACTCTCTGTAAAGGCTAATATGTTCACGAACAAGTTACTGTTGATTAATATTCGTGGCTGCTCTGGACATGCCTCAAGGTATAGCTGCAAAATCTTTTTTTTGAACCAAAATGTTAAAGGCAAAAGGATCAGTTTGGATAATTTTTCTGGGTATGAGTAGGTCGTGTACATATTGCTCATAGTGAAGTGTATCTAGTCCCTTGTTTATCAGCTGCATCTCCCTCTGCCCACCAAGCCCTAGGGATTTATCCTACCCCCCCCCCCACTATTTGTTTAGAGGCTCGTTAAACCCTTGCTGCTTCACACCTTTTTTTTTTTTTTTTTTAAGTACTCAAATTGCCTAGTACTAAGGAATTCTGGCAGTTATAAAGATGCTTAACAAATGGTTTTTACCATTAAGGAATTTATCTTGTTGAGGAGGCAAGATGTATCATACACATGATATAATCAGAGAATAGTTTTCAATCAATATAGTAAATTAGAGAACAATTTTCAGTTGGCATATTAAATGGGTAGGTAATTCTTAAGGACAGAAGGGCCCAGAAGTTCTTTTGGAAGGTACTGGATAAAATAGGTTAATGATAACCTGGAAAGCTTCCACATTGGAGGGGGCCGATGAGGAAATACAAGCTCAGGCAAGGAGAGAGGAAGAGCAGTATATAAACTGAAGTGGTCAAGACTCAGAATGAGAGACAAGGTGGCCAGAGTAGAGGGAAAAGAAGCATGCTAGATGTCGTGAGTGCCAGCATTGGGTATTACATCTGAGTTTATAGTTATTTGGGGGCTCAGAAGTTCTCAGTTTACATCCTTTTGGGAATCATGGCATTAGTCCGTGAAGGAGGCTTGGACTGTTAGGCCATAGTATTTCCAGAACAATCCAATTGGTGTCTTAAAGCTTACAGTCCTGAAGTGTGCAGTATTTGAGCAGATAACTCTGCTCAAATTCTTTACTGCCAACAGCTTGAAGTAAAACAGGAGATTTTCCACCTGCTCCCTCACTCCTGTTGTTTCCAGATGCTCACACTAGCTGGTCTGCTCTGCTTGTTGCTGGATTGTGTTCCTTTTTTCTTTTCCCTGCAGAGAAACCTTCCATTTTGTTTTGGCTTTGCAGGGTTTGGAGATAGCACAAGGAGAAGAGGACCTGAAGCAACAGCTGGCCCAGGCTCTGCAGGAGGTAACTTTGCCATAGTACTAAGATTATAGTGGGCTGTGGAGTGGGGAGCAACCAGGCATCACATGACCATTGACTGCCTCTGCTGCTTAGTGCATACCTCTGTGGTGTCTCCAGCCTGTAAACAGAGCAGGTTGCAGCTGCTCACACCATCAGATCAGAGATTTGGAGCCTTACAAACATGCCAGAGCTCAGCATGAAAACTTAGATTTTCATCTGATCTGAAGTTGCTCTGGTGAAGATGGAATGGAGTGTTAGCAGTTAAGAGGCTCTCTGGGGAAGTGGCTCCACTTCCAGAAAGGTGAGGGCAGCATAGGGAAAATGTGAGATATGACTTGGCCACCAGGCCCGTGAAGGCCTCTGTTACCACAATGTCCCTGAGCTGTAGCCAACCAGAAACAATTCGAGAATGTTCCAGTTAAGCATTTTAGGCCAGGTTGAGAATGTGCAGTTTAACAATCAACAAAACATATCAATTTATTGAAAAAGTAAAGCTCAACAGGACTAAAATTCTCCTAAAAGATTACCTGTAATTTATTTAATTTAACCTAACTACTCTTATTTATTTTTTGTGTGTGCTCCTTTGCATCTTTAAAACCTACTTTGTCTTCTACCTTTTATGTATTATGATTAGTAGTTCCATTTAGTCAGGATGGTTCAGATCTCATTGGAGAGAGTGAGCAAATCGCATAGGAATTTGTTCAGGGGAATTTATCCTTTTATCGTAAACCTACTGCCCAACCTTACAGTGCTAACAGTCATATTGTATTGTAAGCACGACAGGGTGCCTACCTTGATCTCCTTGAGGGTTTCACAAACAGCTTTGGAAAGAATTAGATGAAAATTAATTCAATCTTTTTAGAATTTTATTTTTTGAGCTTGTTTATTTTCTAGGGTGGGAGAGTAGGCATGTTTCCCATTTGGAGCATTATTAAGTTAATATTCAGACATTGTTTTGAAATTGAAAAAGAATGTGGTTCTGCTAGTTGGAAATCCCTGAGGGATCACTGAGTACCCTGCACCCTCTCCTGAGACAAGAAAGCACACTATCATTTTGCGTGGGATACTTGGCCATACATTTATTAGCTTAAAATGTGATACTTTTCGACCAGGCGCGGTGGCTCAAGCCTGTAATCCTAGCACTTTGGGAGGCCAAGGCGGGTGGATCACCAGAGGTAGGGAGTTCAAGACCAGCCTGACCAACATGGAGAAACCCTGTCTCTACTAAAAATACAAAATTAGCCGGGCGTGGTGATGCATGTCTGTAATCCCAGCTACTCAGGAGGCTGAGGCAGGAGAATCGCTTGAACCCAGGAGGTGGAGGTTGTAGTGAGCCGAGATGGTGCCATTGCACTTCAGCCTGGGCAACAAGACTCCATCTCAAAAAAAAAAAAAAAAAAGCGATACTTTTAGGTCATGGTTCTATACCATCATGCCTGGGGGACATGCCACTCATGCAGTGGCGGTTTTTTGTTCCACCATGGTGATCCTTTTGAAAGCTGTTCTTTATAGTTTATTTAAAAACTGCTTTTATAATGGTGTTTTATAACTGATTTCCTATTTAAATCACATAATACCTTCCTCTCCAATCTCCAAAAAACGACCACATCTTTTTAAACCCAGTGATTCATAAGTTCTCAGGGAATTTGACTATAGTTAGAAATGGGTCCAGACCTCCTTCTTCACTGCCCTAAGCAGTCTGCCAGTCTTTGCTTTGAGTGGAAAAGAAAATAAAAAGATGCATTTATATACAGCTCAAAAAACTTCTCTGACTGCTTTTCATACCTATTATTTTATTTTCTTAACACTGAGGTAGGAGGGAGCACCTATTTTCCCATTTCCTTTTATTTTTATTTTTATTTTGAGACAGTGTCTTGTTCTGTCACCCAGGCTGGAGTGCAGCAGTGCAATCTCAGCTTACTACAGTCTCCACCTCCTGGGCTCAAGTGATCCTCCCACTGCAGCCTCCTGAGTAACTGGAACCATAGGCACAAGCCAGCATTCCCGACAAATTTTTTGTGTTTTTGGTAGAGATGGGATTTCACAATGTTGCCCAGGCTGGTCTCAAACTCCTGAGCTCAAGTGATCCACTCAGCATAGCCTCCCAAAGTGCTGGGATTACAGGTATTATGAGCCACCACGCCCGGCCGTATTTTCCCATTTTATAGATGAGAAGGTTAAAATGCACATCTCGAATTAGTGAGTCAAGTTGAAGACCCAGGCCTTCTGATATAACTGCTTTTTTTTTTTTGTCAGGAGATCACACATTTTAAAATTTGGTTCTTGAATAATATCTTTTCAAAAATACTTACCTTTACTCCACCTTCTTTTTAAAAAGAATTTGAGGTGAGATTCTAAAGTATAAGCTATACTTAAGCATGGGAGTGCTCATAAATTATGTTTCATGTATGTGGAACCTCTTGACATTCAGCATAGGCATTTAGTCACAGCGAATGAGCTGTTAGTTCCTGGGTGTGCCTTCTTCCAGAAGACACTGGCAGGGTTCAGGCAGCATTATCTTATGAGCATGTAGTGTGTGATTTATAGAATAAATAGATTAAAGATCTTTTTTATTTCAATAAAAATGACTATTTAATTCCGCTGATTCCCATTTCCTCCTGATTATTTCATAAAAGCAGCTTCCAGTTCTGAATAGCTTGTAATTACTTACTAGTTCTTAAATACTGTTCCCAGAATCACTTGGGTGGCTTTAAAAAAAAAAAGCACATTTCTGGGCTCCAAGCCAAACCTATAGAAGCAGACTCTGGGACGCAGTGAAAGTTCTTCAGTTGACATGGATGTCCACCAATGATGGGTTAGTTTTAGAGGCCCCAGTACATTCGGTGGCCTCCTTCCCTAACTGCCCTCTCCCCTGAAAAAAGCAGCAGGTGGGTAACATAGCCCAATGGAATAAAGGTATTATTTTGAAATTGCCATTTTATCGATCCCTGAACCAAAGTCACTAACTGGAGGGAGAGAACAGGCATGTTTGTGGCTAAAAGGAAGGATGCATTGTAGTTCATCCTGAGTATGTATCTGCTATGTTTTTGCAGCATTGGACTCTAATGGAAGAGCTAAATCGCAGCAAGAAGGACTTTGAAGCAATCATTCAAGCCAAGAACAAAGAATTAGAGCAGACCAAGGTACTGGAAAGAAGATGGAAGTTTAGAATTTGGTTAGTGCATGCAACTCAGCATTTTCAACAGTGTAAGGGTTGCTATGGAGAATGAAGAGAGAAATCGTGGCTGCTCCTTGCCTCTGGGGAAATAATATATAAGATTATAGAGGTCTATAGAAGATTCTGCCTGTCAGACAACATCTATTTCCTTCCCTTGTTCAGAAGCAAAATGCTGGGAATAAGGCACTTGCATCCTGCATTCTAGTCCTTTGTCTATGGTGGGTACTCCTTCAGGGTGTGTCACTGATACAGACTGAGGAATATTGTAGTCAAGAAATCGTTCCTCCTGAACTAGGTAATTTGAATTACATAAAGTAAAGTGAATTACTTAATGCAATTCCTTCCTATGTCAAATCAGGAGAACTCTTGAATTAGGGGTTATAAACTTAAATGCCCACTAGGGCCAGACTGGTAATCCAAGTGAGTGAAGTGGCCTGAATGTGAGAACACAGTAGGGAGCTGTGTGGGCTATGGTTCACTGGATGGGGTATTTGCCCACACCCCCATCCCGGGAGGCAACTCTTCTCTGCTCAGCCAATTGTTGCCATCCAGAAGTGCAGGCCCAGTGTTGTCAGATCTTCTGATTTTTCCACAGCAGATGAAAGTCCAAATGTTTAAGTGAAATATCCCAAATTTTAAATATGGCAACAACTTCAGCTTTTTGTGTGTGTTTTCTTTAATGTGAAGGCCAAATTAAACAAGTCTGCAGGGTGGATCCAGTCCACAGGCCACCAATTTGCAACCTCTGACCTGAAATTAATACCTGAGTCTGACTGCATCTCTCATCCCACCCCCTCCATGTACAGACCTAGAGCTGAAGGAGGGACTTTAGTTAGTTTGATTTCCTGTTTAAATCACATAATACCTTCCTCTCCAACCTCCAAGGAACTACCACATCTTTTTAAACCCAGTGATTCATAAGTTCTCGGAATTTGACTATAGTTAAGGGGGTCCAGACTTTCTTCACTGCCCTGAGCAGTCTGCCAGTCTTTGCTTTGAGTGGAAAAGAAAACAAAAAGATGAAAAATGAGCCAGCCACTCAAATATACCTCAAATGGCCTATCCTGTCCCCCTCAGGGGTTCTTAATGCTTTCTGTTTTGGGGGTGAAGTGCTAAAATAAATGTCTGCTTCAAGAGAGCATACCTAGGATCCTCCTTAAAAAGTGTGTTCACCCACAGTCTGATCTCCTGGGGAAAGCCAGGGAGATGGTACTGCAGGCCTCTGCAGGAGTGGGAAGTGGCAGGTATCATAGAGCATGGAGCCTGAAGGTAATTCAAGAGGCCTTTCTCCAGCCTTCTGCCTCCAGAGGTGTGCCTTACTTTATAGAAAAGGCAGCTGCAAAGAACACTTTAACTTTATAACTAATTCAAGTTTCCTGCCTCTCTGGACTATTCATACCTCTTTTCTTGTCCAGTGAGTTTTTAATTATTTGGGATGATCTTATGTAACGTCTGAACTACGGCTTGCTATAAACTACTTAATGTCCCATCTGGTCTTGGGTGGTTGGTGTGGTTAGTATACCACCTGCATTTTTCTCATTTGACTAATTTTGGGGAAGGAGACAGAAACTGCAATGCAAATACTGAAAAAGTGGTGTTTTAGTCCATTCAGGCTACTACAAAAAAGACCCATAAACTGCGTAGCTTACAAACAACAGAAATTTATTTCTCACAGTACTGGAGGTTGGGAAATCCAAGATCAAGATACTGGCATATTTGGTGTCTGGTGAGGGCTATCTTCTGTTTCATAGATAAGAGTCTTGCTGTGTCCCTACATGGTGGAAGGGGCACACGAGCTCTCCTTGGGCCCCTTTTATAAAGGCCACTAACCCGATTTATGAGCATGGAGCCCTCATGACCTAGTCACCTCCCCAAGGCCCCACCTCTTAATACCATCACATTTGAAAATAAGTGTCAACATGGGAATTTGGGAGGAAGCACAAACATTCACACCATAGCAAGTAGGGAGAGGAAAGAAAGGAGTTTAGTGCTCTGTATTGGAAAACAATTATTAACAATAACCCTTAGGGAAAGTGTTCTATTCTTAATGTTGCTGCACCAGAATGAATCATTCACTAAGACTGAATCCTCTTCTAAATAATTAACCCTGCTCCCTGTCCCCTTTTGCATTTTTGTTGGTTCTCTGAATGACAGGTAGGATTGTGTGTCTTGCAGGAAGAGAAGGAGAAGGTGCAAGCACAGAAGGAAGAAGTTCTCAGCCACATGAATGATGTGCTAGAGAATGAGCTCCAATGTATTATTTGTTCAGAATACTTCATTGAGGTAATGAAGTTGCTCACCCCTTCTTTTGCTCACCCCTTCTTTTTTTTTTTTTTTTTTGAGAGAGTCTCACTCTGTCACCCAGGCTGGAGTGCAGTGCTGTGATCTTGGCTCACTGCAACCCCCACTTCCCGGGCTCAAGCAGTTCTTGTGCCTCAGCCTCCTGAGTAGCTGGGATTACAGGCACATGCCACCACGCCTGGCTAAGTTTTAGTATTTTTAGTAGACACGGGGTTTTGCCATGTTGGCCAGGCTGGTCTCGAATTCCTGACCTCAGGTGATCTGCCCACCTCGGCCTCCCAAAGTGCTGGGATTACAGGTGTGAGTCACCGCACCTGGCCGACCCCTTCTTATTCTCCCAACCCTGAATGGAGGCTGGGCTATACAGGCTGCTTCTACTATAAGGGAACATTCTGAAGAGATTTTCTTCCAGGAACTTACAACTATTTGATTTCAAAGTGACCCCTAGAAGTGACCATTTCTCATTTGTTTTTATAATCTTCTTTCCCTTCACTGTCCTTTTTTGGCATTTCATCTGTTCTTAAATGTTTATTTGGTATGATTAACATTTTTAGCTGCAGTGAAGCCTTTATCTCTTTGTTGTTGAGGGGAAAACAGGGCCAAATTAGATTTTGGAAGTATCAGAATAAAGCTGCTCAGTAAAAGCTATTCTTTCTTTACTCTGAATGGGCCCAATGCTGAGAATATGCTTATAGTGCAGCCTTTTAAACGAGGGGGTAAACGCCATTAAAATGTGGTCACTTTGGGAATTCAGGGCCCACGCTGAGTATATTTCAGGGACTCTGAGGCTCCTTATGGAAACTTGAAACCTCTACCATTTGTTAGCCTATCATATTTTTGCCCTGGCTTATTTATTTATTTAACAAATTCTGCCATTTGTGACCAGTTCACCTTAGACCACAAGTGTTAAACTCAAGTTACTAAATGACAGTGCTTTTCAGACTCCTTTAAAAAGAAGGCCAGGCGCAGTGGCTTATACCTGTAATCCCAGCATTTTGGGAGGCCGAGTGCAGGAGGATTACTTGAGGTAAGGAGTTCGAGACCAGACTGGCCAACATGGTGAAACCCCATCTCTACTAAAAATACAAAAATCAGCCAGGGGTGGTGGTGTGTGCATGTAGTCCCAGCTAGTCGGGAGGCTGAGGCAGGAGAATCACTTCAATTTGGGAGGCGGAGGCTACAGTGAGCCGAGATCACACCATTGTACTCCAGTCTGGGCAACAGAGCAAGGCAGAAGAAAAAGAAGGCTGAGGCAGGAGAATGGCATGAACCTGGGAAGTGGAGCTTGCAGTGAGCCGAGATCGCGCCTCTGCACTCCAGCCTGGGCGACAGAGTGAGACTCCGTCTCAAAAAAAAAAAAAAGAAAAGAAAAAAAAAATGTAGGCCAGTTGCAATGGCTCATGCCTATAATCCGAGCACTTTGGGAGGCCAAGGTGGGCGGATCACCTGAGGTCAAGAGTTCAAGATCAGCCTGATCAACATGGCAAAACTCCATCTTTATTAATAATAGAAAAATTAGCTGGGCATGGTGATGTGTACCTGTAATCCCAGCTACTCAGGAGGCTGAGGCAGGAGAATTGCTTGAACCCAGGGGGCGGAGGTTGCAGTGAAGTGATATCGCACCACTGCACTCCAGTCTGGGTGACAGAGTGAGACTCCGTCTCAAAAAAAAAAAAAAAAAGGGATAGCGCATATATGCACAGCTTTCTTTACTCAGGTGATCTTTAGGGAGGTTGGGTCTGTTAGCCTCTTGAAAAATCTCTCCTAGGCAGACCTTTTTCTTTTGCTGTGGGTCCACTTAGACTTCAGATCGTAACTTCCCCCATAATTTCTAGTCATCTGATTCTCTACTTTGGAGAAGCTCTGTGTTGTTTTGACAAGGCTTATGGACTCTAGAAGAGGAAGACAAGAAACGGGTTGAAATAAATGATGAGTTAGCCAACCTGGAGCATCCGCAGAGACATATAAGACATAAACAACTTGACCTGTGTTTTGTTTACAGAATGCCTTCTTATCTACTTTACTGGTTACCTCTTAAAATCAGTCTCAGAAATATGTTTTATTTAATTTATTTGTTTATTTTTGAGACAGAGTCTCACTGTGTCACCCAGGCTGGGTTGCAGTGGTGTGATCTTGGCTCACTGCAACCTCCATCTCCTGGATTCAAGTGATCCTGCCTCAGCCTCCTGAGTAGCTGGGACTACAGGCACCCACCACCATGCCCGGCTAATTTTTTAATATTTTTAGTAGAGATGGGATTTCATCATGTTGGCCAGGCTGGTCTCGAACTCTGACCTCAGGTGATCTGCCCACCTCAGCCTCCTAAAGTGCTGGGATACAGTAAGCCTCAGATGTTTCATTTTTATCACATAGGTTTTCAGTACTGTTTATGAGAGCTTGTCTTATGTAATAAACACAATGTTTCCTAGCTTCTGTGCTCAACTTGGCATTTGAAAAATACTTAATATCAGTGTTATTTTGCACTGTTATCCTAAGAGCAGGAATGAGCACTTTTGAGCATAAGATACAAGAGCCTTGTATCTTAGGAGATATACATAAACAAAAGTAACAAAGAGAAAGGTTTGTATTCTCCAGAGTGAAAAGGGCTCTGGCAGAAATTGACCAGAGGAATTACTCAGAGGAGCCCCACAAATACAGGCTTCCTTTTGCTTTCTGTCTTCATTGGCACATTTACTTAGATATTCAGGCATTGTCAATAAACCCATTATATTTTTACTTTTTTAGTTTCTTTTTTTTGCCCAGCATTTTTAGTTGCCTTCTATATTATTTTACTTTTTCAGTTTTAGAGATGATGTCATAATTCTCTACACTTAAAATTTAGTATATGTTCCCTTTCATATGTTAATTAGCAAGACATAAATTTGTTTTTCTTTTTGAAAAATTTGTTTTACAAAAGCATCAGATTGGTGGAAACTAATAATATTTATTGTTTGTTTTTGTTTGTTTTTGTTTGTTTGTTAGTTTTTTCCAGGCAGTGTCTCACTCTGTCGCCCACGCTAGAGTGCAATGACGCTGTCATGGCTCACTGCAGTTTCTAGTTCCCGGGCTGAAGTGATCCTCCCACCCCAGCCTCCTGAGTAGCTGGGGCTACAGACTGTGCCACCATGCCCGGCTATTTTTTTTTTTTTTGGTAGAAATGGGATTTCACCATGTCTCAGGCTGGTCTTGAATTCCTGGCTCAAGCAGTCCACCTTCTTCAGCTCCCCAAGTGCTAGGATTACAGGTGTAAGCATTCACACACTTATTAGTCCTACTCATATCCAGTAACATTTTGTTTGCAAGGTGGCCAGCCCACACTGGGAGCGTGGTCTGAGTTGGTGGACTGAAACAGACAAATCCCTTAACTTTGAGAAAATAAAAGAATTGTCTAACATAAAGCTTAAAATTTCCCAACCCTAAGAACGATTTTTTTTTTTTTTTTTTTTAAAGACAGAGTCTCCCTCTGTCACTCAGGCCATACTGCAGTGGCGTGATTTTTGTCTCACTGCAACCTCCACCTCCTGGGTTCAAGAAATTCTCGTGCCTCAGCCACCCGAGTAGCTGAGATTAGAGGTGTGTACCACCATGACTGGCTAATTTTCATATTTTTAGTAGAGACAAGGTTTTACCATGTTGTCCAGGCTGGTCTCGAACTCCTGACCTCAGGTGACCCACCCACCTCGGCCTTGCAGAGTGCCAGGATTATAGGCATGAGCCATCACGCCTGGCCCAACCCCAAAATTCTGATACTCTTTGTAAGCCCTCAAGATGGGATTGTGGTTGATTTTCCATTTGGCCTTTGAAATTCACTCCTGACCTAACTTTGAGATCAGAAGCATCCTGAGAAAGTAAGCATGAAAGTTCTGATATGTGTGTTCACATTCCTGTTGTAGGCTGTCACCTTGAACTGTGCCCACAGTTTCTGCTCCTACTGTATCAATGAATGGATGAAGCGGAAGATAGAATGCCCCATTTGTCGGAAGGACATTGAGTCCAAAACGTACTCTTTGGTTCTGGACAATTGCATTAATAAGATGGTAAATAATCTGAGCTCAGAAGTGAAAGAACGACGAATTGTTCTCATTAGGGAACGAAAAGGTGAGTGGGTGTGAGAATCCCTACCCCTCAAGAAAGGACTTATTTACTTCCAAACTTCAACAAATTTTTTTGGAAAGAGTCAGATAAACAATTCTTGAACTAGGGAAGAGGTGGAATAAATGGGGAGGAGTAAAAGGAGTTAAAGAGAATGTGTGAGAGGAAGAGTTGAGATAGAATTAACCTCAACTGTTATTTGAGCAGCAGGGAAGTGGGAGGCTAAGCATGTGTGCCTTGGTTGTGGGGGTAAAATAAAGATGTGATTTTAAAAAACACACACAGTCAGACGTTTTGCTGTACCAATCACTAGATGGTGCTGTTGTCAAGACACTTCCGTTGCTGTCCAGGTGTTGAAAAAACCTTGAGTATACAGTGAGTTATAAATAGGATAGTGGGGCCAGGAATCTGATGCTGACTTGCAAGCAGCTGTGGTTTGAAACTGGCCCTCGGTTGGTCAGCCAGAATGGAGGCCACAGGCTTGTCACAGAGGCGGAGCAGGACATGTGTCTGTGCCTGTTATGCCCAAGGAATACATTCTGACCTGTGGGAGTGCAGAGCGGCCTTTGAAAGTTGGCTCTTTGGAACTGAAGTTTTACCACTTTACTAACAGCTGTATGCTACTGGGTTTTGTGCCTAAATGTAAGCCCCCACAGAATTTCACCTCTAAGAGCTACTTGATTCTGGCAGAATCCCATTGTTCTTCCTTTTCACCTCCCATCACTCCATAAGCATTTATAGGAATACTACACTAGGCCTCAAGAGAAAAAGATAAATAAGACATTATCTCATCCCTTACAGCATGAACAGTCTGGCGGAGGAGATAGAAAGGCAAATAGATAGTGTGATGAGTTCCTTATCAGGGTGCTATGAAACTTCAAAGGAGGGGACACATCTGATTTGGCCTGGGGAGGTGCAGGTATGGGAGAAAGCTTCATCAAGGAAATGACATTTGAATGAGCCTTAAAGGTTCCCTAGGCAGTTAGCTTTCTAAGCGGAGACAGTAGCACAAGCAAAACACAGAGGCATGAGAAGCAGTGACCTGCCCTGCCCCAGTTCCCAGTGTGGCCCATACGAGACATAATATTCACATGATGCCAAGGCTTAGAAAGTATCTATGGAGGCTTTGCGAATGTTTTTTCTTCCCTCTTTCCCTTTTTGAGAGGAGCAGTGATCTGGGAACCCAGATCTGGCCAAGATCAGGTTGTGGCCTTTGAACTGAAGTCTGCTGAGTCGGGGGATGGGGTTGGAGGCAGACTTAGGGACATCCGTGGGCTTTCTTCGCCCAGTCTACCACCTGAGTTCCTTCCCTGCAATCTAAGCATGGTAAATGGCTTCACAAAACATCAGGGAAAGAAAAGGATGGGCACGGTGGCTCACACCTCTAATCCCAGCACTTTGGGGAATCATGAGGTCAGGAGTTCGAGACCAGCCTGGTCAACATGGTGGAAGCCCATCTCCACTAAAAATACAAAAAGTAGCTGGGTGTGGTGGCACACACCAGTAGTCGCAGCTACGTGGGAGGCTGAGGCAAGAGAATCGTTTGAACCTGGGAGGCAGAGGTTGCAGTGAGCCGAGATTGTACCACTGCACTCCAGCCTGGATGACAGAGCAAGATTCTATCTCAAAAAAAAAAAAAAGGAAAGAAGGGCCTTGGGCCCTGTGTAAGTTTACGTCTGACTTCTATTACACAGAGTTAATTCTGCAGAGTAATAACAGATACCCTTTTTCCCTCCAAAGGCTAAAGAGGGTGTCTCTCACTTTTTTGGTAACACTAGGGGGCTACACAGTAAAATGAGTCAGCTTCCCTGTTAAATGCATTGGCTGGGAGCAGTTCTGGCACCCATCTTGGTTTCTGTAGTTATCGCACCGAATGCAGCTTTGAAGTTTTCTCTAGAGACAGACAGGTTTTCTGAGACCTGATTTGGGGAAAGACATGCCAGAGCTATCAACAGCTTCACTGGGTTTAGAGAAAATTCTCGGTTTAAATACCAACCTTCCTTCCATATTCCAGGGCCAATTGAAAGCTGGTTTAATCCCTGTTGCATGGGAATTTTTAAAAAGGACCAAATTTAGGATCTGGGAACTAGGATTGGCAAGCTTATAATTGTCAGAGTCCTAACACTGCAGGCCCTGGAGCAGGAATTGCTCTTATCAATTCAGAGGAGACCTGCCTGCCTGTGGCAGCAGAGGATTGCCCATGCAGACATGCTTGTATTCTGATTTCACCAAGAGCAGCCTCACTTCTAGGCCTCCTGGGCTGGTTATTGAAGTTTCATATGTCAGTGGGAGGAGTAGAGTCTCATGACTGATTAGCCATTGATCTCTTGTGTGAGACCAGAGGAGAGGAAGAGGATGGGAATGTTAGGATGCTGGATCCTGAGTTGGAGGTGGATGCTCTGGAGCTAGGACAGATAACAGACTGTCCTGTATCATGAGTCACTGTGGCTCTCTGGAATATTGACATGAGACTTTTTCTGAATGGAAAAGTTTTTTTGAAATCCCCTATAGATGATCTCCCTCTGAAGCTGGTGAGGTGAGAGAGCAGTCTTACGTCAGCTGCTCCCCTCCTGTTTCTTTCGTTCTCAGTCAATGTTAGTTGGTTGACAAGAGTGTTAAAACTCTTATGTTTTGCTTTTCCTAGCAGTTTCTTTGGGTTGTACTCAGAAAATAACAAGCGATGTAGAAATAAAATCTCCTTGGTCTTTTAGAACAGTGATTTTTAACCAAGGGGCTTTTTCAAACTACATTCCTTAGCTGCCTTGCTACTACTTTTTTTTTTTTTTTTTTTTTTTTTTTGAGATGGAGTCTTGCCTTGTTGCCCAGGCTGAAAGGCTGAAGTTTAATGGCACGATTTTGGCTTACTGCAACCTTCCCCTTCCGGGTTTAAGTGATTCTCCTCCCTCAGCCTCCTGGGTAGCTGGGATTACAGGTGTACACCACCATAGCCAGCTAATTTTTGCATTTTTGGTAGAGATGGGGTTTTACTATGTTGGTCAGGCTGGTCTCCAACTCCTAACCTCAGGTGATGTGCCCCGCTCATCCTCTCAAAGTGCTGGGATTACAGGCGTGAGCCACTGCGCCTGGCCCCTTGCTACTATAATAGTGAATTGCGGCTACTAGTGAGAGTGTGCCATGGCCTTCACATGTGCTGAGGTGGGGAGAGTCGTTTGTGAACTATTGTGTAAATCTGTGACACAAAGTCCCCTCCAGAGATTGGGGGTGTCTGTATCTCTTGCTAGCTTCCTGTAGGCTAAGTAGGGGGTGGTCCCAACATAGGACAGGAGAAACTGGCAAAACCGAGGCTCTGAAGAGTATCTGTCAGCCCACCTGTAAGGCTTTCCCTGATATTGCCCATCCTCCTTTGCTGAAAGACAGCCTTTTAAAGGGATTTTTGAGGGAGTGGCAGCAGTAATCCTCTCTCTTCCAGAGAGAGTACTTGTTAGCAGGTAGTTGTAACCTACTCAGTTCTGTCCCTGGAGAATCAGGGTCATTTGCATGAAGTCAGCATTTCTGCCTGCCTTGTATAAGACAGCGTTTGTCTAAGAGAAAATGGATCATGGCAAGGTCAGGATGAGGCAGAAGTGTCCACATGCTTGTACTCAAATAGTATATAACACTGTATTCTTAAGATTTTTTTTTTCTTTTTTGAGATGGAGTTTCACTCTTGTTGCCCAGGCTGGAGTGCAATGGCGCGATCTCAGCTCACCACAACCTCCGCCTTCCGGGTTCAAGCGGTTCTTCTGCCTTAGCCTCCCAAGTAGCTGGGATTACAAACATGCGCCACCACGCCTGGCTAATTTTGTATTTTTAGTAGAGATAGGGCTTCTCCATGTTAGTCAGGCTGGTCTCGAACTCCCGACCTCAGGTGATCCGCCCACCTCTGCCTCTCAAAGTGCTGGGATTACAGGCGTGAGCCACCGCGTCCGGCTCTTAAGATTTTTTTACTTTAAACAATGTATGCAGGCTGGGCACTGTGGCTCACGGCTGTAATCCCAGCACTTTGGGAGGCTGAGGGGAGCCAGATCACGAGGTCAGGAGATCGAGACCATCCTGGCTAACACGGTGAAACCCCATCTCTACTAAAAAAAATACAAAAAACTAGCCAGGTGTGGTGGCGGCACCTGTAGTCCCAGCTACTCAGGAGGCTGAGGCAGGAGAATTGCTTGAACCTGGGAGGCGGAGGTTGCAGTGAGCCAAAATCACGCTACTGCACTCCAGCCTGGGCAACAGAGCGAGACTTCGTCTCAAAACAAAAAAAAAAAAAAGAAAAAGTATGCTTTGCAAAATTGTAATGGGATGGAACATTATCAGACTTGTTACTAGAAGCTTTTTAATTTCTCTCTCACCACTTCCCTATTCATCCCCCTTCTTTTTTCCTTCTCTTCTTCTTTTGTGTCCTAGTATCCTTCCTTGTCATCAAGGTGTGGTTTTTCCTCTGTTGAATTTCTTTCCTTTGTCATCCTTTTGTTTTGTTTTGTTTTTCTTGAAAAAGGCTGGCGTGCAGTGGCGTGATCACAGCTCACTGTAGCCTTGGCCTTCGGGCTCAGGTAATCCTCTTACCTCAGCCTCCCAAGTAGCTGGGACCACAGGTGCGTGCCACCACACCCAGCTAATTTTTTGTATTTTTTGTAGAGATAGGGTTTCACCATGTTGCCCAGACTGATCTCGAACTCCTGAGCTCGAGCAATCCACCTGCCTCAGCCTCCCAAAGTGCCAGGATTACAGGTGTGAGCCACTGCGCCTGGTCTAATTTTTTTTCCCCCTGTCACTCTTATTGACACCTCAGAATACACAGTTTGAAATGACAAGGGCATCATAGGAACTATTCACCTAATGAAACTTAGTAGAGGTCTGCTGTGGGATTAATTGGACCTTATGGAGTAGCAACCCAGGAGGTCCTAGAACCTTGAATTCTTATTGTCTCTGTAATCCTTGTGATTGCCAAATGGTCCTTCCATCTGGAGGTCAGAAGGCTGTTCTCTGACTTCGTGCTCTGTGGTAGAGTGTCCTCTCCCTTTCACCAAAAGCTACTACTGTCTTGCGGGCACCCAGAAAAGTTTTCACAGTTTAGGAGAGTGGCCTTCCTAGATGCTATTAATCATCTTTCAGTGCACCCTAAATGTATGGAAGATTGAGTTTGAGGGAACCATGCATGCCCCGGTTGAGAGATCCAGGGCTGACTTTGACTGCTGGGCTATGATAGCTTTAAATACACCCTGAAGAGTCCAGTGCAGGAGAGTCAGTGACTCCAGTGAGCCCTGCACCATGTTGTACTGAAAGTGAAAATCAGTGCTTGCTGGCCATGGTGGGATCCCATTGCTGCTGGAGGCTGCAGCCCAGCTGTCAGCCCACCAGCCTAGGGCTGGGAAAAGGGCCTGGAGATGGAACATGAGCAGTTCTGGCCATCTCTGGTGTTTAGCAGGAGACACTTCAGATTGTTCATTGCTATTTCCCACAGTAAAATTTTCTCCTGCCCTTTTTTGATTTTTAGTGATAATACAGTTATTTTGGCCCTCTAAAAAATGGATCCTCCTTCCCTCCTAACATGTAATTTTATGATTTTTCATACCTACTTCCAGGAATGTCTATTGTAGGAGACTACCTGTGCAAATATAGAGTAGCATCATTAACCAAAGCAACTTTTCTTTGAGTTTCTTGGTTAACCCTAGATGAACACTGAGTATTTTTAGAGCAAGCTCAAATAAGTTGATATTCTATGAACTAATCATAGAGAGTGTCTGATTATACCTCATCAGCTGGATATATATTCTGTCCAACTGCCTACTGCTATGGTTCTTGATATAACCAGACATGCTCCTTTTCCTGGCTAGGGCTTCTACTTCAATTACTTTCTGTACCCTGGAGAGTTTGGACTGCTTTTACCCTTGTCTCATTAAACTTGAACCAGAACCAACCCCAAAGAAAATCTCTTCCTTGCTTCCTTTCTTCTGGGTCTTTCCTTTTTTTTCCTGTCGCCCAGGCTGAGTGCAGTGGCATGATCTCAGCTTACTTACTGCAAACCTCCACCTCCTGGGCTCAAGCATCCTCCTACCTCAGCCTCCCTAGTAGCTGGGACTACAGGTGTGCACTACCATGCCTGGCTAATTTTTTGTATTTTCTGTAGAGATGGGGTTTCACTATGTCGCCTGGGCTGGTCTCAAACTCCTGCGCTCATTGAATCAGCCCTCAGCTTCCCACAGTGCTGGGGTTATAGGCATGAGCCACCATGCCCAGTCCTGGGTCTTTCCTTTTTCTTAGCTCCTACTAAATGCTAAGTGCTTGGGGATAAAAGCAAAGAGGGCATGTGCAACCTCTCCCCTCATGGAACTTTTGCTCTAAGTGCAGGCCCTAGGCTCCTTATATTAAAATCCTACAATATGAGAAATAAAGGGTGCTGAGTCAAGGAAAGTCTTCCCTGAGTCAGTGAAGGACATGGAGTGTATCTTTTAGGTGGAAGGACAAGAAGCAAAAGCAAGGGGTTTTTAGGGGCTGAGAGAAGTACAGAGTGCTGGAGAGAATATTGAGCATTTAGCCTGGAAAAGTAGGCAGGACTGGGTCATGAAGGGTGTTACAGACATGTTGCAGAGTTAGTCTAGGGGCAGGGGGAAACTATCAGAAGATATTAAGTGGAGATCTGACTGTTGATGTTTGTGTTTTTCTGGATAGGTTAGTCTGGCTGTAGTGAAGAGACTACATGGTTCTGGAAACAAGAATAAAGGCAGTAATCATGGCCAGCGATGATGGTGGCTAGGCTAGAGAAGTAGCAGCAGGGATGGCCAGAGTGGATAGATTCAAGAGGTAGTTAAGGAGGTAGAATCCATAGGTCTCGGCCGGGCGCAGTGGCTCAAGCCTGTAATCCCAGCACTTTGGGAGGCCGAGATGGGCAGATCACGAGGTCAGGAGATCGAGACCATCCTGGCTAACCCGGTGAAACCCCGTCTCTACTAAAAAATACAAAAAAAAAAACTAGCCGGGCGAGGCGGCAGGCGCCTGTAGTCCCAGCTACTCGGGAGGCTGAGGCAGGAGAATGGCGTGAACCCGGGAGGCGGAGCTTGCAGTGAGCTGAGATCTGGCCACTGCACTGCAGCCTGGGCGACAGAGGGAGACTCCGTCTCAAAAAAAAAAAAAAAAAAAAAGAAAGGACTTTGACTTTAACTGTTACTATGAGAGGAATGAGGAACAGGCTTTGAGTGAGAGTAACATGATCTGACTTCTGTTTTCTCAGTTTGCTATGGCTGCTGTGTGAGGAAGAGACAGAGTGGCAAGGCTGGAAGCAGGGAGTCCAGGGAAGGGAAATGCCAGCTCCTCATTTATTTATTTCTCTTCTTTTTCTCCAAAGCAAAGAGATTGTTCTGAAGACCATGCTCTAAGGGCCTTTGAACGACTGCCAGGCAATGGGAGCCTGAGATGGTCTGGAGCATTCTCTCTAGCCGTGACTCCGCTGCTCTGAAGGTCAACTGAGAAGTCTTGTGGGACAGAGACTGAGTTAGGAAGCCCTCAGTCACTTGCCTTCCACGGTGGCCAGCCCTGCTGCCATCATTGGCTGAAGCACCACCAGGATTCCCGGCACCCGACTGCTTTAGGGTACTTCATAGACTCTGCCTCACTACATGTCGAATGAGTTATTTGAGTTCTCTTTTGTTTTTTTAGTTTGTTGTTGTTGTTACTGTTTTGATACCTCAGAAACACCTCCGTTGACAATTGTTTTGGATAGGTTGGGTGTACCCCGTGGCTGCCTCTAAAGGCGGTGTCTATTTTGAGAGGATGGCTTACCTCTTCTTTGTGAAAATACTATCTCATTTCCTGGAAATAAAATGTAAAACCTGTCAGTTGCTCAGCTGGGCTTTGGTGTATTTACCTTCCTTCCCTTCCTGCTCCCAGACAGTCTCACAAGTAAACACTGGCAGCTCATAGATTACAACCAAGAAAGTGACTATATCAGATGATAGACTTCAAGTGAATGTCAGCCTAAGAGGCCAAGCCGCAGATCATGGCCACACCAGACGAGCTCTGTTAACCCCCTGATTGTCGTGTGTCCTTTTTATTACAGAGGTGGGTCACTGTTTACCTTGTTTCAGGGGTGGGAAGAACTCCTTTCCTTCAGCTGGCATTTGAATGTTTCCAAATCTGTTTTATCCTGCGTCATAAACACACAGGCAATGATTTTATGACAACTTGATGTGCTTTTTTCTTTATTTTTCTTTTAAATTAAAAGTCTCTCTTTGCTCTACCTCTCCTTTATTTTTTATTTTTATTTTTATTTTTGAGACAAGATCTGACTCTCTTGCCCAAGCTGGAGTACAGTGGTGTAATCTCAGCTCACTGCAACCTCCACCTCCCAGACTCAAACCATCCTCCCACCTCAACCTTCCGTGTAACTGGGACTACAGGCATATGCCATCACACCCAGCTAATTTTTGTATTTTTTGTAGAGA